AATAGCAAGGATTTGGGCCCAACTCAGCTGAGGTCAACTGAATAGTAACAATACAAATATACAGGGGACATACAATATAACAAAGAAACAACATATTAAAAAAATCCATACAAAACTAAAACATTAAAGAAAGAAAACAACTCTTTAACTTAGCACAAATAAGTGAATATTAAAGTGACAAAATAGGTAAGGTCAACTTAAACAAAATTCTTCTCTCAGTCCTTTGGTGGTATGTTTCTGGCATCCACCTCCAGCTGGTCTGCATTTGCAGAACCTCAAAGAAAAGAACAAGTGTAAGTGAACCATTCAGACACATATTACCTGAAGCATGCGCCCGTTAGAAAATATACTTCTAAACAGAATAACTCACATTCAATTTGGAGCTAAATGTAAACTATGAAAAACAATGCACTTGGTGGTGATGGTAAAAGCATCCACCAAACCGATGAAAATTATTTAAATAAAAATTTGTTTTCATTGGAATATTCAACTATGTATGTATTTATTTTATATCTATCTAACAACTTTTTGTTATTGCCCTGCAACATATGCATTCAGAGCAACGAAATGCTATTGAAAAAAAAAATTAAATAAAAAAGGTATATATTGATGCACAATATGTTCTAGAATTTCACAATATGTTCCACTGCAGTACTCAAAGGACGGGCTACTACAACTTGAAGATATGTCATTGGTCCAGCACACCTGACTCTTGTTACTGAGTAACCTCTGTAGTATGCAGGTTCTCTAAAGGGCCAGTGGATCATCTCATATTTAGATTCATGTTTGTTGGACAAGGAATACATCATTAAGTGTCAGGGCACCAGCCTTCAAGCACTGGATTTGCTTATCCCGTATTTCACTCCCTAACGTAGCTCAAAAGGTTTTGCTTTCTAAACTAAATCCTGCCTCTATTCTCATAACAGCAAAAGCTAATGATATGTGTGGTCGATGCTGAACACTGACTAGTATCATAATTATGTGTGTGGGGTGGTGGGGGGAGTCTCACAGATCAGCTAATTTACTTTGGACTTGTGCTGGATGTGTAAAAGACCCCTTGATTAAAAATAAGTTTGCAAGCAATTGGAAAACGGATAAGATATAATCTTTGCTTCTGAATAGATGAATATACCCCCCACCCCCATCCCTCCCAACCACAGAGACAAATGTCAATCATTTAATAAAACCTTAATAGTCAATTCAACACACACACAAAAAAACATTTAAATAGGTGATTTATAAAGAACTTGTCACCGGAAGCCATCATCAGCATCCCCGGATAAAGCTTTCCTGTGGTGGATTGTGTTTCATGAGGCTGATTCATAAAAATCCTCTGAGCTCCTTCTCAGCAGACTCCCCCGCCTTAGAGCAGCAGCAGCTTCAGCACCTCGGATAGCGAAACTCTCTATAGGCTCGCCAGCCAGCTATGGGCCAATGACCGCAGCGATCAGGTTGTGCTGGAGCGCCACAAGCATCCCTGAAGCAACCAATCAGAAACCGCAGCTTCCCCTCCCACGTCCAACCCTAATAACTGCAGATGCCCGCATCCAAGCAAAGCTCTCTGTCTTCCCGTCCATCTATTTTTGGATTACATTGATTGCCTCCTCTATACTTTTCAGCGTTTGTGTCCATTTAGGTTTTTAGATCAAATTTTATTGCCTCACTTCTGTCTGAAGAAGGTCCGTCTGCGGATTGAGCAACAGCCTCGGCCGACCATATTATATCGCTTCTTAATGGAAGACATCTTTTCTCTCGTTCCGAGGCGCATTTTCGCTGCTATATTGGGCCCGTATTGCCATCGACGAAGGAGAGACCCTCAGTGAATGAAAGAGGGGTGGTAAGACCACCAAGTAGAAAAGCGTGTCAGGCTCTGATCTTTAGGTTATCACCGGGAACGGAAGCCGTTTCACCGTTCCCGGTGGCGCGGTGGATGCCGATAGTGGGCAGATCTTTTACATTCTGAAAGCAGTGGCCACCCAGAAGGAAGAGAATCAATGGATCTCATCAAAAGAGGGGATTAACTAGAAGGTATGGAAACACAGAGCTGCGCCTTTTCGCATGCAAGACAATGCAACTTGGTTTAATGTGGAACAAATCATTTCTATTTCTTATATGTGTACATGTCAGGTTAGGGCAGGCGCACCGCGGCTGCCGCTGGTGTGTGTGTGTGTGTGTGCGGGGAGGGGGGGTATTCAGGGCTTCCATTTTGAAGCTAAGATGGATGCCTGCGCACAATTGTTTTTACTGCCTCTGCATGTGCCCTTTTCTTTCTTCTTATATAATTCCAATGATCACAGGCGGTTTGTGTCATGGCAACAGAAAGCAATATGCATCATAATTGTTTACATTAAGTATACCTTTAAATTGTTTGGTTTTATTATGTATCTCTCAATAATAGGGTGGAATATTATATTTTATTATTATTTATTTATTATTATTATTATCTTCTTTAAATTCAGACATACAGTACCTTCTTTGGGTAAGGGAAGAGGTTCCAACAGAGGATTTGCTGTATAGTTGTTAAAATGGCATGCTCAATTTAAATCAAATGCTTTCCCTGTAGTACGATGTAAATGAATAAAAATGCATATGCAGAATTGTATAAAGGAACGTTAGAGAGACCATGATAAATGTAAAACATGTGCATCTGCACTAAATTATCTCCCCAGCTCTGCTTGATGCAGGAGGCTACATATATCTCTTAAATTTTCAGGCCTGCCTTTTAAAACACTTTGTTTCACACTAATGAGCAAATGCACAATCAGAGAATAGTACTGAAAAAAATCTAACTGTATAACTTGATAAAATGTTTGTTGCACTGCAACCAAAACCTTTGGTGTATTCATGATTGTACATAAAACTAATGTTCAAGGATTTTTGGATTAGTTAAAATATTCAAAGTGAGGTAAGCATTGTATGTATATCAATGGTTACCATGGTGACTAGATGTTCGAGATCGGCTTGTTTTCCAGTGTAGTCCTGTTTCTCTGACTGTGACTGGCTGGATGTGCTTCTTCATCCTCTGACGTGAGAGCTGGCTCGGAGCTCACCTGCTTGGTTGGTTCCTGGATGGACCGCCTTTTACAGCTGCTTTTTGTATCTCTGCTTCTGTCTCCTTGAACCCCAGTCGGGCTCGGCAGACGACCACTAACACTGATCCTGGTTCTGCTGGAGGTTTCTTCCTGTTAAAAGGGAGTTTTTCCTCTCCACTGTTACTACAAGCATGCTTAGTGTGAGGGATTGCCTTCAATCAATGAG